TATATATAAAATCTGTTGGTTCTGAGACAGACAGGCTAATTAAGGCCAGATAACCTGTATTCATTGTGAATAAATACAAGGGGGGGTAGGGGTTAAATATATTTTCTTGCACATCTCTTCTCTACAAAAATGCAAGAACAAACTTTTTTGTATTAGTTTGTGGGCATATGCTTTTGGTTTGTTCATTTTGGATTTAAATAAAGTGTATGTATACATACATGTACAAATCATAAAAGATTATGAAATTAAAACAAAACTATGGGTAGTTTCCCAAAATTGTATGAGCTATGAATTATATTCCAAAGCCATTCCTTTGTGTTTTGATTAGTACTGCCTTATATCCTCAGCCTGCTGACTCATAGCATTTTCCCCTTTTAACATTATTTGCTTACTTAATATTTAAATTCGCCATTTCCTTACATCCATTTTAACAGGCAAGGTCACACAGGTATCAGAAAGCTTCATTCTTTTCCCTATACCTGAATTTCACTGGTGGAATTATGCAGAAACAACGTCATTTGAAAGACCTTGCAGTGTTGCCTTTATAATATAATACACTGAAAAAACAGTATTGGTATCATGCATATAAATGTACAGCATGCCTATACAATATATCATGTTTAAATGTTAAAATTTGTACTCCCAATAATTAGAAAATTTTATTCTAATATAAGCAACCATATATATTACAAAGACAGCAATATAAGAACTGACAAAAGAAAATAAAAATAATATTTCATATATACACAAATAGCACAAAATTATATGATTTGCTATTATAATAATCTCCCAAAACAGTTGCAGAAATGCAGCATGACACATCTTCACATTCTTTGAAGTTATTTATAAATATAAGATCTATGGGATAGATATGCATCCTTAGTTGTTATAGAGTGAGTCAATATGATTGAACAATAACGACTCAGTATTTAAAATGTGCTGTCAGCAGCTGAAAGATGCCCCATTGCTTTTTGACTTCAGAAGTCTGGAGCCTGCAGATACCAGACCAAAGCAGCTGAGCTCCTAGCTAGCATCTCCCTGGATTGCCTCAGCAGGTTACTGAGAGTTCACTTAGATTGGGTGCGTTTTATCAGCCTTGCTAAGCCAAGCCTTGCTCTATTTATTTCCCTGCTGGATCTAAACCTATGACCAATCCATGTGTTAAACCACGCTTCAGACTGACCTATTCTTTCTGTGCCAATATGTTTTCACGCGCAAATAAACAAAAATGGAAAATAATTTTTATTTCAGATTTGACAATAAAATAAGAGTTGATCTTTGATTTCTGCACACTTACCCTTATATCTCCATACTGCGTTCTGTGTAAAACGTTACCTGGTAAGATATTTGCGTCTGTGCAAACGGTTAATTACCCACAATGCCTGCGTGTTCCTGTGCTGGATGAAATGGCTCTGTTCTTAATTAGCATATTATGGGCTCTGTTAATGGTCTTCCCGGTTGTTTTCAGAGTAACAATATGTGCATTTTAAATAGTGAATACAACATGATTTATGCCAGATCCCCTCTAAGCTAGTTGAATAAAACAAAAAAGTTTTATAGTTTTTACAAGTGGAACTTGGCATTTAACCTTTTCACATTTAGTCAATTGCAAATTTCCCCATTGTGAGAGAGCCTCTGCGTACCATTTTAGCATTTTTTTCCCTGTAGGAGCTCAGATGAATGGATTTTATCCTGTGAATAATGACGTGGTTAACCACAATTATGCGATTCTAATGGATCTGCATGTTTTGCAGGCAGAGACCAACAATAGGCAAAGTTTCATTTTATAATGTATATTTAAGGGCACATTGAAAAACTAATTGTGTTACCCTCAGCATTTTGAAAAGATTACAGTCAGAGAACAGTCAGAACAGAATCATTTGTATGTGAGTAAATGAGTTTTGATGGAATGGAAATGTTAATAGATTATTAAAGTTCCAAACAAAGTCTAATCTTACAGTGCTTCTTTCTTTCTGTTATTTTATGACTCACAGGATTTGACTCAGAGATGTGTCATTTAATTGGTTCTGTGAATCCAACTTGGATCCCCACATCAGCATTTAGACCTAGAAAGCTGTTTTTGAGAGTTAAAACATTGTAGTCCCATCCACAGCACTAACTGTGTCTGAACATGTCTCTCAACCCTGCTGGAGTCTGTCAAATTCTCCATAGTGGGAAATGTATTTGGGAAAGGAGGAGCACCAAATCTGTTTTCCAAAACAAACAGCAGACTTTTCATACATGGACGCGACAGCCATTTATCAAGGTTTGGGTTTGGAGCAATACAAATATGTAGCCACCTGAAGAGGCGCATCAGCGTGTACGTATCACATCTCTTAAACTCTGCGGTCACAACGAATATCGGAGCCAAGGCACACACAGAGGAAACTCTCTGACATCACACCAAACCTACATTACTCAGAGGATGAACCCATGACCCCAGAGTTATCTCTCGAGCACAGCCTCGGCATCAAATGCTCTCTCTTTCAGCAGACCGTCGATTCCTGCCCACAGTTTTCATATAGTCTGTATAAATTATACTAATGTCAACAACAGCTTGTCGTGAAGACAAAAAGCTTAATGTTGTATGATTACATTAAGTCCTTTGGATCTTTGTAATGCTTGTGCTTTAGCTTTCTGTGCTCTCTGTTACCCAAATATTTACCATTTATGAGTGCTTCTCTATAATAGATTAGTTGGGTTTGTTGAGTAGATATATTTTTGGATTTAGAAAAGCACAGACACTGCACTAAAAGATGGGTAAGGCACTCTTATTTAGGTTCTTATTTGGGTTCTACAAAGAACCTGCAAGGGTACTTTATTCAGCTTCAAAGAACTTTATATGCCAATAATAACAATAAATGTATGAAAACCCTAATAGTATTGATAAACAAATGGCACAAAAAGGGTTTTACACTAACAACTTAAATATATGAAATAATACTTAATTATTATAGTATTTATAGACTCTTTATAGTATTATACTTATTAATATAGTATTCCAATGCTATGGATATGATTATTTTAGTTTTAAGTGATAAAGTATCAGTTCACATGATAAACTATTTAATTCACATATCCATGAACTCTATATTTGAACGCATATTTGAAATCTATAGAATTCAGTTGAAATTCCAAAACATGAACATTCCAGTTCCAAACATGAAGTCAGCAATAGAACTCGGTAGAACTAGACTTATATAGAACTTTATAGACTATAGCCTTAAGATTGTGAGAATTTTGTTTTTTGGGGGTTTTAGATTAGAAAACACTTATAAATGCTGTTTTAGACCTATATTTTCTGCTGGTGATCTCAAATCTCATATTTGCTGAACATTTGTTCTAGCAGCAGCCCTCTCATTATTTTGGTTCAAGGACTTGTCCGAAAAGCTTCTTCCTGAGCAAGATACAGGAAACAGCAGGCAGTTTCCCAGGCTGAAAGAGCAGGAAAAGTTTTCAACACAGTAGGGGCAATGGCTGACAGCTATCATAGATCATAGTGCATGAGGGTTTGAACTATAGACTATGGATATTAGTCTCAGAAGGATGTGTTTTACATCATGAACAAGCATCCGCTCCATTCTAAACATCAGGATCAAAT